TAGTCAGGACAGGTTAACAGCAGTAGAGACCGAGAAAAAGAAAAAATATGACTACTTGCTAATAAGCTTGGGTCAGAGACGAATTGCAGGGACAAAATAATTCCGTACGTGATGTGATGACTTGGGATACGATTGTATGAACTTCCACAAACGCTGTGCGAAGGAGATCAGTCTGTCTAATCACGTCGAGGCATACATTCAATCAATAGCTCTCAAGAAGACGCTCGAAAGCATCTTCTTCGACAGTCGATGTGGATTCCACAAGGACAAAGCGAGAACGATGAGTACAACAAATCTGAGCGCGGGATAAGTACTGCCAGAGTGCCAGAATACGGTGGGTCCGGTGGCGGAATCAATAAGGCGAGAACTAAAACTAACCTCCATATTTATTTAATTTTATGTATATAATTTTCTATATCAGTCTAGCGCTAAGTGACTTTTGATTAAATTCGTTGAGATCAAAGCTGAACAAAAATGATGCTTAAATCGAAAAACTAACGAGTACTCTTGTTCAAGTTGATAAAATAGAGCATGCAGAAGCTTGTAATGACTTGTAGAAATGAGAGCAGCAAGCATATTTTATTCATACAGTAGCAAACATTTTCAAATGATATTTTAGTCTCTGGAAAGTCAGTCAGTTATGAGAATTACACGGCTTCGATGATAAGTTCTTCCCCGATATGTCCATAAGTGATAAATTTTGATGGAAATTCCCACATTAATTTCCATGTAAGTGAGTCATTCTGAAATGTCTTCAGAATAAAGTGTCTTCTTCGAGAACTATCGTCTCTGTATTCCTTCAAAATCTGAAGTAAGCAAGAAGATAAAATTATCAAAAAAGAATAACATCAATAAAAGTACTTGTTGTAAAGTAAGCGAATTCATGATTACTTACTTTATCATCTGTACTTGATCATTTGTATGTGCTTTCGAGGATCTTAAAAAAATCAATCGATATTTTTGCATAAATTAGTTTTGAGATTAAAAATGTAACTTCTTCAACTGGAATCTTCATACAATTCGCTATTGTAGCAACAAGAGCGACAGACATCTCACAATGGCTAATACTGTCCAGAGCTCTCGGTAAGATATCTGCGATACAATTTAATTCTGTTACACCCTAAAAAAAACCACAGCAGGCATCTTTTTACTTTTCTGTTTGCTGAATCATCACGATGCAATAGTTTTGAGCACGTTTGTGATTCAAATTTTTTTACGGATTTATGGTTTACCTCTTTACGAACCATTCTTACTGCAATAAGAATTGCTACTATAGCAATAATACATAAAGCAATATTTGTCACAGCAGCAAGGTCACCAAGTAGAGCAACTGTCCCATACAGCATTTGTAATCGCAGACAAGCTTCCGCGAAAATACTCGCTGACTGAGGAAATTCGCCAGTATTTCATTTCTTTTTAATGTAAAAATTCAATTGATATGTGGTCTATAACAAAATTTGCATGTCTATATAAATAGGAATGTTCATACAGACTACTGATTTGAAGTCGCTACCTTTGAAACAACTTATGGAATCAGGTACGTCTTCCCTTTGTAGAACAGTGGTTCCTGCCCATCTAGGCAAATTTGCCTTGTTATTTTATAAGATCTGATCTAGGGAAGTGCCTCTTAATGAAGATGTGATAGATTTCATCAAGATTGTGCGGTTTCCAGTTGGGCAAACAGGAAACTATTTTCCCAAATTCGGCTTCAGATGGGAAAGTAACATGCACTTCATAATCTGTAATAAATTCTTCCAGATATTCGTTGTGTCGAATGTCATCGTCTCCTATTTCTTAGTTCCGTATCGTGGCCCAGAATCTTTGCTTTCTTCTACCTTAACAAGCTGCTGCTCCTCGGTTAGTTGCTTATAAAACGATTTTCTGAACAACTTAAATATAGCGTTTTGAATTTTGAACGCACATGGAAAATAACTTTCTATTTTAACTTTCATAACTCTGACACGCTCTTTCAGCATGCTTAGAGCCTCATGACCTGTCACGTTTTATGAGATTCATGCCCCTTATACACTTCTTGGCCTCCCTTATCTTCAAGTATTTTATCAGCTAATTACTGTTCTATGAGAGTTTTATAGAAGCTGTTCACACTTATCTCCTTTTCTATGCTTGCCTTCCACTCCGATGGCTTCTTCCACCTTATCATATCTTCATAGCATTATTGTATCACTTGAAGTTGCCTTGCAAGATCAGTCATTGACTGAGGGAGATTCTGTACGTTTGTTTACCACCCCAAGTATAAACGGCTCAACGCTCTCCGATGTTACTATCCGCGTCCACTTCTGGCCTATCGCACGTCCTTGGGCTTCTTGCATTAGTACAAAATACTTCTGCTTAACGTTTAGACTTATGTAACATATTTTTCTTGAATTATATGTCAGATATCTTGCAGTGACGAAAATGAATGGTGAAAAAATACACTGGAAATCCATCAAACGCTATTTAGCAAGATACAGTTGCTTCAATCAACATTATCTATACTAAATTTCGACTCGCTTAGAATGTGCCTTTGAAAATCAGAAAATGATTTATTTTATGACAGTACAGAATTACTCCTTATCTTAATTCAACTACACTTTAGACATACTGTTCTAGAATGCCACTCTCTGAATCGTTTTACTTTGCTATTTTGCCAAATTGAATCAGATCAATTGCACTCAACACGAATTGGCGGATTCTTTTCTCTTCCATTCTTAACTCTATTAAATATGTTCTTCTTCCCTCTAAAATTCTTTTGAGTTGGATCATTTGTGATCTTCGTAAGTCTGTGTCCTTGAACAAATAAAATTAACAGGAAGGTTGCATAACTCTGATTGACTAAATTAATATTTTATTTTGCGAAGAAAAGAACGTGGGAGGTGAATGTAGCAGTCAATATTAGGAAGCCGACTTGGCTAGACTCAGATGTTGCTTATTACTTGCAGAGAGTACTGAACACGGGATATCGTAAGCACTGTGACAAGGATTCACTGAAGCGTAATCAGAAATCAGTGCAAGACGTACTAAATACTCAGAATCGATGTATATGTCACTCTCCCAAGTTTACCATACAGTCAGTCTGATGTTCTCAAATGAGATATTCTAACTTCACAAGCTATGTTAGCTTCTATTCCTTTTCCAATTCCACATTTGTTAGCTTTTCACCGATACAACTAATCCAAAACAACGCTAAACTAATTCTTTTTAGCACAGAATAACCCGACCGCCTTTGAACTCGTAACTGATGCAAAAATCGATGAAGTGAGAAAAACTTCTGCATTTGATTATAATTGTTAAAATATTCTAAATTCGAGAATCTGCATAAATGAATAAACAAATCTGAAAAATTAAAACGTGTTTTTTTATTCAGAAAAAATGCAAATTGTTGTGTTAATTACATAAGAAGTATAAAAGAAGCAAGTCTTGTAACCAAGTCAGTTTTATGGGTGTAAGCGCATACGGAAAGGGACATTGAGAGGTGAAGATGGAGAGTACAACATTAGGAGAAACGGAAGAGGTGGTCAGCGAGTTACCGAACATAACTTATGTATCAGATATACCATCTGAAGCACAGCTCCAAATCCAAAGAAAGTATGGTCATGAAGGCGCACATCTAGAAAAGGGTAAATATGAAGGTCGGACCATGGGATTGTTTACTAGCGGAGGAGACGCCCCGGGAATGAACAGCGCTGTACGTGCTATTGTTCGAGTAGCATTGTATTTAGGTGCACGAGTATTTTGCATTCATGAAGGATATCAAGGTATGGTTGAAGGTGGCAAATATATTGTAGAAGCTACCTGGGAAACCGTCTCAGATATTATCCAGAAAGGAGGTACAGTGATTGGTTCAGCACGCAGCAAGGATTTCCGGGAACGATGGGGACGCTTAAAGGCAGCGGAAAATTTAATCCGTCACAAAATCACAGCATTGGTTTGCATTGGTGGTGACGGGTCTTTAACTGGTGCTAACATTTTTCGAGATGAATGGCCTGAAATAGTTGCAGAATTACTACAACAGGGACGTATCAGCAAAGATGATGCAGAGAAATGTAGATCAATTCAAATTGTTGGAATCGTGGGTTCAATCGACAATGACTTCTGTGGCACTGACATGACAATCGGGACAGATACTGCACTACATCGAATCACTGAAGCTGTTGACTCAGTCCGCTCAACCGCTCATAGCCATCAACGATGTTTTGTAATTGAGGTAACCTAAAGAAAAAGTAGATTGGATGCTTTTATTCGAATGCATAAATGAAGTGAACGGAACCATAAATACTAAAATTTTGGCGCAGCTACTTTGACTGAACATTCCACTTCCAGGTTATGGGACGTCATTGTGGATATTTGGCGCTAGCAGCATCTCTGGCATTAGATGCTGATTTCTGCTTTATTCCGGAATGGCCACCACCAACTCACTGGACTAAAATTTTATGCAAGAAACTAAAACAAATGCGTGATGATGGAAATCGAGTTAATATTGTGATAGTTGCTGAAGGAGCCATTGATCACAATGGCACTGCAATTACAACTGATATGATTCGTGATGTAATAAAGAAGAATCTTAAATACGATACTCGGATCACTATCTTGGGACACATTCAACGTGGTGGCAGTCCATCAGCATTTGATCGCCTACTAGGTTGTAGAATGGGAGCAGAAGCGACAGTAGCTTTGATGGAAATGGATGACAAAACAGCACCATGCGTAGTTTCTATTGATGGTAATCAGATGGTACGCATACCATTGATGAAATGTGTAGAACGAACGAAAGCTGTTCAGGTTGCAATGGATAAAAAGGATTGGGCTACAGCACTAAAGCTGCGTGGTCGCAGCTTTTGTCGAAACGTGGAAATGTACCGAACGTTATCCAAAATTCGCAAGCATGAACGACCAAGTGAAGGTTTTAATATCGCAATAATGAATGTTGGCTCACCAAGCGGTGGTTCCAATGCTGCTGTAATGAGTTGTGTTCGTACAGCGATCTTACAAGGTTGTGTTCCATATTGCGTTTACAATTCGAACGAAGGTCTAGCTACGGGTCAGCTCGTAAAGATGGAATGGAATGATGTGGCACTGTGGTCAGCAGAAGGTGGCTCATTTTTAGGTGCTCAACGTACTCTTCCAGATAACGACACCCTTCCGTTAATGGCGATGAATCTGACACGTTTTCATATACATAGTTTAATTATCATTGGTGGTTTTGATGCCTTTCATACTTGCTTGATATTAGCCCGAAATCGAGAAAAATTCCCTGCATTTCGGATTCCTATGTGTGTCATTCCATCTACAATCAATAATAATGTACCAGGAACAGGGTTTACTCTTGGCGCAGACACATCTTTAAATGAGATATGCAAAATGATTGATAAAATAAAACAATCAGCCACGGGTTCGAAGCGTCGTGTGTTCATAATTGAAACTATGGGAAACTACTGCGGTTATTTGGCGACGTTATCAGCAATGGCAAGTGGAGCTGACGCGGCATATATCTACGAAGAAATATTTGACGTACATGAACTGATGAATGATATACGCGTCATTGTAGAGAAGATGCAAACAGGTGCTCAACGCTACCTGATAGTGCGCAATGAAAAAGCATCCCAGAATTACACGTCAGAATTTATACGCCAGTTGTTTGCAGAAGAATGTAGAGGTGCCTTTTCTACTCGAGTTAACGTTCTCGGACATACTCAGCAAGGTGGCAATCCATCTCCCTTTGATAGACTTTTCGGAGCGAAATTGGGAGCGCGTGCTGTAGTTCATTTACTGGTTCAAATGAAAGAAATGAAAATATCAGGCCTTTGTAATTCTACTACAGCAACACTCCAAGGCCTAATTGGTAAGTACATTTGCTTGACACCGGTAGAGGAACTCGTAGATGACGCTGATTTTGCGCATCGTTTACCCATGGAGCAATGGTGGATGAAATTACGTCCCTTATTACGAATACTCGCCAAGCATGATGGATAATCGAAACTATTTCAAAATAAAACTGATTAAATAATTTAAACAGCCTCAGATTTGTGATTATCTAATATTTCTGTTTGCAAATAAACTTGAAAACAAAACAGAATGTCTTCACTAAGCTTTCGTTCAAAATAGAAGCCTAGTCCGAAAACATATTGCACTTTGATAAATCTCACATTTGAAACAGTCCAACTTCATTACTTTTATACCTGAACCTGACTGCAAGTTTCGACATATTAAGAGGTAGTTTTGTAAATAAAGTATAAAAACCTTTACTTGGGATCTTCATAATTTTTGAACTTATTCAAAGCTCTGGAATACAATTTACAGATCGCGAAACCATACTCTCAGTATATACTTGCAACCCATTTACTGCATTTAACTACATGGCCTTTACTATCTCCAAATTCTGAGTCCGCTGCCAGACTCTGTTCTTATTGCACTATACAGTCCCAAATTTGAAAGAACCAACTAGTACTGTGCACTGTATTTCCATATAAAGTAGAGTGATGGTGAGGAATTGAGAATTTATGCAACATCAATTAGTGATGGTAACTAAGAACTTGCAATTAATGTAAAAATCTAGTATCAAAAATTTTATATAGTAACAAACTAGTAGCGGCAAAAGTATCTCTGGAATTCATCGCAGCACTTTGTTTTTGAAAAGAAAGTGAGATTTTTAAGAGTATTTGAGACAAAAAAAAATTATGTCAACTGCTAATAATGCAAATGTAAAAAGCATTAATCTCACACCTATAAATCCAGATAATACTATCATTTTATCAGTTTTGCAAGACCATTTAGTATTCCAGTGTCTACAAAACTTCTGGCTTCAATACAGAAAGTTTTACTTTCAATTTCATCTACTAGTTTATCACATTTATATAATCGGAAGAGAAATTTTGCTCGATTACTTCCAAATTTCGTAGATTCACAAGTACAGCAGAAAATGTTTTTGTAAAACTTGGGACGGAAAGAAGAAGTGTGCGTCGATTTTCTTCAAATTCCGCAATAACATGTGATACTTTTGACTGGTTAGCTGCAAAAAGTATGTGTGGAAAGGATTCTATGATGAATGGATCTCGATCCATGAATGGAAATCCATCTACAGTGTCAGGGATTGTTGGAGCAAGGTGCTGCCAATGCAGAATATTTCTCAACAAATCAGTACCACTCAATTTTTTAGTAAAACGCTTCAAATCAGACAAACTTTCGCCTGAAAACAATGTTAACTAAAAATTTTAATACTTTGATGAATTTCTGGAGAAATAAAACAAACAACTTTTACTGACTATTTCAAAATGCATGTCTCGTTATACTTACCTGATGTCCCCACAATATGAACATTATCTAAACAAAACTGGTAAGGATTTGTCACAAGGTTAAGCATCTTTCCATGTCGAGAGCTTTTTGGAAACACAGCACGGTGAATCGGTTGCTGAGGCATTAAATGAGTGGAAGGATCTCCAACTCCTGGCATTACATCGACTTCTAACAAACTCTAAAAATTTTAAGTGTGAATAAGGATATTTTTTAGTCTGAGTACCAAAGAAATTGGACAAATGAAAAGTTTTTATCATACTAATATTTTAGACAAAAAGTTATCCATGTGTGCCGCACACTCGACATTAGGAGATTCTTCATTTTTTATCAGATAGCGAGCAGCGGTAGAAAATTCTCTTCCCTAAAGAGTGAAAATTTTTTTAATGTAGGAAACAAAAAGTAAAATAATGAAAAAACTTCACTTTTCATATGCAATTATTTCTACTAAATTGCTAACCTGGTCAGTAATAGCGACACTTTCACCAGCTACGACTAATCGTACGACTCTTTCCACAATATCACGTTCCTGAAATCATTTTTATACAAACCACAAATGTAGAAAAATCAAAAAATTAAAGTTTTATGGTAAAAACTAATAAAAATTATGCAAAATTTGAAGCATTTCAGACAACAAAATGAATTTATATTCTCGCAAAAGCAAATATTTGGTAATTATATAAATGTTTTCTAAATTGAAATTATACCCAAGATTACTGCATTCTAATTTTGAAAAGAATAGCAGCACTTACAATATTGATATTCTTACTTCAAAGTTACATATTGGAAATAAAAAAAGTGCAATTTCGACTTGAGAGGGAATTTTTAAAAAAGAAAGAAAAAACGATGAGTAAACCTTTGTACATAAAGGTAATAAACCACAAAGCCATTTTTGCAATAAATTCAGAGCAAATAATTTTTCTGCATATTTTTCAGTTTGACCTGTGAAGGAGAATCCTGACACGAACATAATATACCTTAAAGAAAAACACTAAAAAAACGTTCCAAAGTAGAGGACTTCAAAAAATTAATGGAAATTTATGCCTCAAGATTACATCAAAACAGCTATTTTATGTATTTGGTAGAGTAATTTTACAGCTTCTAACAACTTGGTAACTAAAATAATGAAAACCAAAACAACCTATCTTCATGCAGAACAGGATATGAGGGTTGAATTGCTTTGACTGGCCAAATTATCTGATGAACTTCAAAAATATCATCAGCAAGTTGCATACCATAAATACCAGCAACACATCCAGTCGACAAATTATCTATGTCAAAGCTTCCAGAAAGGCGGACAATTTGATCATCATCTTCTAATTCTACAAAATCTTCATCACCTATTAATCTGCAATTAAAAAACTGTCAAGGTCATGACGAATGCAATGCTTAATTATTTTTTGTTACAATTAATTTAGATGAAATTTGAAGCTAATGAAATTATTCTACAAACAATTTATAAACATCAAGACTGAAGATTAATAAACTGACTTGTCTTCAGCAAATGGTTTCGGAAGGATGAGCTGTTCTTCTGCTAAATCACGAAGAACACTTGGTCTTAACTTGATACGTTTTACTATGGTTCCTACAATTAAAACTTTACTATCTTTTCCAGCTTTTGTTAATCGACAAGGCTCGATGTCATTACCTAAAAATTCATGTGTCAGACAAAGAATATAGTATTACAGCAATATTTTGCTTGTAATGCTTGAAAGATAATATGATATATTAGCTAATTAGAGCTGCATAAAATTAAGCTGACTACTGAAGGCTAAATAAATGCAATGTTTCGCTTGCTAAACTGAATTAGTTTTTGCACGAATTCAACAAATTTCTTTAAAACTTTGTTATATATAAATGAAATAATGGGAAATTTGATCAAATTTTATTTCTTTTCACTAAAGCTTGACCAAATTGTCCATCCCTTCACTTTTACATAGCGGGGTTTGAAAAATTAAGAAAGAACTGAAATATTTTAGAATAAATAACTATTTGATTGAAAAAGTGTACCGAGCAACACCTTAGCGTTATCTATGACTCGACTGCGAAGCAAAGCGATTCTAGCGCGATATAAATGATAGTACTGTCGATGAAAACACTGCGCTTCAATATCTTCCCCTTTGATCAGATATTTCTGCGATAAATTTTGATACTGCAATGTGTGACGACATCGACGATCACGCATTTCTGAAATATACTTTTAATTTTGTTTCAAATAGTAAACTCTTTCCCACTCAAACACTTCCTCTGTTTAGCTATTACAGCTAAATATTTGCATAATAATGATTTTACTAAGTATCTGCGCAGTTTTATTAAAATGATAAACATATATTATCTACTCATCTGTTCCCTTTTGTTCATTCTTACAGTTTCTCTTTCTTGTTTCATATGCAATCTTTGTCACTTAGATTAATCTGCAAGCTCGAATCTAAACCCAAATATACGTGCACCACACTGTTTTGCTATTTGATGACCACAACTCAATGAATGCATTTATAATGCTATTAGTAATAACTTGGAATGTTTGGTTTTTAACAGATGCAATCAACAGATCAGTGATGCTAATTGATTAGTCATGTTTGATGCATATTACTGATTAATGGATCACTTGAAGTGTGCTGATAGCATGCATATTGAAGTTACTGGCAATTATGTTATTAACCAGATTTGATCTCGAAAATTCAAGCACTTACCACCCCTCTATTTCGATACAAAGTCGTTGACTTTTTGTCCATAATCAATGATGGCTAGTTTTTCTCTTACGATAAACAAATTGTGATTTTTTAAAAGTTTTAATTTAACTTCGGCACACTTTTTTGATATCTGCACGTTTGGGATATTTTAGTCTGTTTTTATTGATTTCATTATTGAATTGTGTCCAGTGTTGAAACCATATAAAAATATTGTTATCACAGGATAAATGTTTTATTGTAAGCATGTGGAAAACTGATGTTAGGAAGTGATTAAAAATTCATGTAATAGCATTTTGAGCCGATGCATACATATGTAAACTCTTATTTACTTGTTGATAGTGCTTTCAAATGTTTAATCTTGCAATATATGGCTTAACAATTTAAAGAAATTTACATATACACTAATATTTATGTGCAATGCAATGAGAAAATTTCAGAAATTGCTTAAAATACTTTTAGAATTAGTGTGAAGCCTAGTAAGCTCAGAAAATTTCTTAGCCTTGAACAAACTGAATGTTTGTTGTTAACAGCTAAATATATAGCAACGTTCTCTATAGAAATTGGAGATAGTTCAAGATAAATCTGGTATTTCTTGAAGATCAATTTTAACATCAACCGAATGTGATGCTTTGTTAGAAAGGAAAATGTGTGCAATCGCAGATGCCATTCGTCCAACTGCATCAGCATTCTCATCTAAAAACTAGACTTATATGAATACAAAGTCTTGATCATTGTGTAATTTAAAGTTAAGTGTGACGAAATTTATTTCATGATTGGAGAGAACTTCGCAAAGAAAACATCACTGCATACTTTGCAAATACATTTTTACCTAATTCTTCTGAAAGAGTATCAGTTTTGATTATTGTTCGTTCGATTGTTTTTGCTCGTGGTCCAGAAAATACCGTTACTTTATTCTGTAAATCATTGAAAAATTTCATGTTTTTTCTAATAGATTACTCATTTTACTTCAGTATCAAATGGAGTATTTCCTGAATTTTACCAACTATATCAATAAAAACAGGATTAAGAAAAGTGAAATATACTGAAAAGTAGTAAACGGGCCTTTTGCCTCTTATTTTTCCTTCTATGCTAACTTCATACCATATGCTAGTGTCGTTTGACCTCATCTTAGGAAAATTAGGGAAGCATTACATATATTTCACTCACTACTTCAAATTCTCAAACCTTTCACTTCCATGCACATTTGAAAGTTTTTTTTCTATCTCTGACTTCCAACAACTTCGTGTTATTTATAAATAAACCAACAAAACAAATACTAGTTGAACTTACTGCTTTTTTTTTCAGATTAATAAGTTCAGAGCGATAAGCAGGGTTAGCTCGATCCCATTCTTTATCAGAACACGATGAAAGCGATTCTCCAAATTCTGATTTTTTAGTTTTTGCTGACTGAAAGCAATCTAGAATAACATAGAGCGTTTATTTTACCGAGTTACAGAAATTATGGACGAAATTTTATTTTTGCTGCAGATGCACAGATTGGTAAGAACATAATTCTTGACTGTAACCTTCTTAGTCTTTCTCCTTCTCCTAACTCTTTCCTGTCTTTTAAATATTTCTTCGGAATTTTCATCTTTGACTGATGACATCTTATTTGTAGAGTACCCCTTAAATAAATTTTTTAATGAATCTACTAGAAATTAATGACTGAACCGTCTGTTGCCTTAGAAATAGTATGCAATGAGATCTAAAGACTTCTTTACCTTAAGAAAACTGCCGCGGCATTAAGACAGTGCAGCACTCAAATTGGGAACTATTCCTTGCAATGTGTCGACTCACCACTAGCTTCGTTTCTTCACGACTTCTTATGATCAGAAACCGAACACCACATAATCCAATTCGTTATCCAAATGCATATATCTTCTCGTCTATGAAACCAGCTTCTCACTATGTAACCAACAGTTTTCCATTTTCCATTGACGTTTTTGCTGTATTCCATTACTTCCAGTTTTTATTATACGACAATCCCACAAGTCAATTTTGTTGGAAGCATATTACTGAAATCTTCAGGTAGAAGTGTTTAAAACCTACTTCATTTACTTCATTTTCGACACCCTGCATTGCTGCAGTATGTAAGGTTTAAATGCAGAAAACTAACTATAACAATTTACTTTTAGCAAAGATTTAAGACTGTATAAAATAATTTCGCAAGAAACGACTAAATTTATATGACGAAAACCTGCCTGACCAAACTGAAGAAACTAGTGCTGCATAATTGGTAAAAGAGTAAGAATTTAAATAATAGAAGGTAACACAACGCCTGTATTTAATTCCAAGAACAAATACAATATGAACACTGAAAAAAATTCGAGGAAAGTACAAGAACCACATTTTGACGCATTTCCAAAAATTAAACCAGGTGATGTTGAATGAAATCAAATTGGCAGTGACACAAAGTGACTACTGCACTTTTTCAATGTTCTGAAGATAATAAAAATAGGAAACTTCATTAGATTAAGAAGAGACAAGAGAATTACCATGATAGAAGCTCAATCTTCCAAAATTTTCCACATTAAATGAACAATATGGCACATTGCAGTTTTCCAGTAAGAGGTCATGATGACAGGGAATTTGGCAACAAAATTTTACAAAATTAAAAAATTAATAATGATCACATAACATGGACATTTCCAGCAGAAAAGTGAAGCGCGATATCAAGCATAAAAATCGCTATGCGGCATAGGTACTTCCGCCAGGATAGACAGGAGCTCCGTAAGCATTTGTTGCCACTGAACCTGTTGCGTAAGAACCAGTACTTGCTGCTCCATAAGCACCGGGCATTTGCGGCATTCCACCTAGTGCGTTTCCTGGGAACGTCAACATGAGCCTCGGTTCCACTGCAGCAAAATTTTCGCAATTTATGTGTGCTCAATAAATTATCTATTATAAAAACTATTCTGTTTGTAACATGCATATTAAGAAAGAGTCTAACAATTTTTAGAGTAATCCAAATGCAAAGTATGGAAATATACAAACACTAACTCATGCTTCCATCAGGTTGCTGATTCCCTTGAACTTCTTTTCTTTCAGCTTCAGCTCGTTCTAGTTTCCGAATCTAAATAGAACAAGGCTTAGAGAAGTTGCGAAAAATTCTTATGTACAAAAAACCTTTCTTAAGAATCAGCAATACGTTAGTAAATAGTAGATTTCACTTGAACTAAACATCTTCCCAACAATGTTTTTTAAGACTGATAATCAAACTATGACAGCTTTAGCAATATGCAGGCTGTAAAATTAGCCATTTACTCGTTTACGGTTTTAGCAAATATAGCTGAGAATAAACTACTCACTCCACAATGTAAACCGCAAAATAAGATCCACTTTTGATTTCAACAAAAGTATTTCTTGAAAATCATTTTTGACAAAAAAAAATTCCCTTCAATAACAATTATTATGAGTTACAAGATATCAAGAATAGTAAATGGACATCTTAATCAAACGTTACTCGGCTCAGATAGAAATAAAACCTAACATTTTATCGAATGAAAGCCTCTATTCAATTAATTTAGATGAAACATACTCTGCTATTGTAATCCCGCATTACTTGTATTATGTAAGGCATTGCAAAATCCATAATCTTATGCTTCCATGCTAACTCCAAAATTACATCTGGGTTCAACAAGTCATACATTTGATAAAGTGACGCTGCAAAACAATCGTGCAATTTGTTATCCAAAAAGTAAGCTAAAAGCTCTTCTGCTATTTCAGGCTGTCGCGATTCCGCAGCATATTCCATTGCATCCTGAAATAATAATCCTTGATATCCCAAATTACAAAGATCGAAATTTCTTTTTTTTTGAAACACATGAATATCAAAAACAGTAACCTTATACAATTTGTCTTTTTTGCACAACTCAACACTTTGCTTCCACCTATTATTTCCTTTGTATAGATAAGCAGATATACGTCTGAATTCAAGCAATTCGTGCTTTTCAAGTTGTTGTGCCAATGATATATTGTCAAAGTTGTCATATGCATCGATAGAGGCACGAAGACCAGCATAATCCTCCTCTTCAATAAGCACCTGATTCAAGGCTTCGTTAACAGACTTATTGTTTTGCATCTGAACCTGACGTAAGTAAGCCTTTACGAGAGGAAGCTGATTCACTGAAAGTTATTTAGAATGCAACGCTCTACCAATATCTGCATAACAGGCTTTACAACAGTAGGAAAATAAAACTGATATCAATCATACGAATTACGTACCTAAATTAAATTTGTATTTTTTTGAGCAAAACAATTGGTGAATTACAATCAATTTCACAAGACAGAAAAACAAATTAACATTTAGCAAAGAAAGCAACGGTTCGAGAATGATCAAGACGTGGTGTTAGCACAAGAAGTAAATCATTCAGAAGCATAGGTTTGTAATCCAGGTAGAACTGCATCGCCTTATAATATAATTCGATGTTTGCAACCTATAAAAATAATTTATTATGCACTGCATCGGATTAAATATTCGAAGGAATCATATCTCGCATTAATACCTTGGTGATAACTTCCTTGAAGTGCTGTTCCCGCCACGCTTCCGCTGGATGCTGGATCATCGTTTGCGCAGCATTGTCGAACTCTTCATACTTGTCATAAAGAAAAACAAGTTCGGACCATAAGTGAGCAAGTTCTGCTGCTCGCAGTACCTGTAAAAATCAGAAGTATCATTCAAAACGGGAGAAAACCAATAAGAATTTGATGTATCGAACGGTGTCTCATCTATTCATGAATGAAAGAAATTCCATTCTAGATTCTCTATTAAAGTAAATTGAGTTAACAAAATCTACAAGGCGATGAAAATTTACCTTAGGAATATTTACTCGGCTCCAAAACAGTTCCAAATGCTCACGCATTTTCTCCGGCTTGTATTTACTGTACAAAATAGCTAATTCTGTGAACATGCCCATATGCGCTCTTTCTAAACCAAGTGCTGCTTCAAGAAGGCCAATTAATTCTTCAAAATATCCTCGTTCCTTCAAAAATCAAGTTATAATTAGCTGCTTTTATCGCACATCTTTCACAATTCAAATTAAGTCGGTATAGAGACAAAAAATTTAAAAAATTATGGGGGAAGAAAGCTGCAAATTAATGAACCTGGTAATAGTTTATTAACTCTTCTAACTCATCCGCATGTACTACAATATGAAGACCACACATCTGTGCCAATCGAAATTCTTCGTTATCAACACAAGCAAAACATACCTAAAGGAAGATCTTGACTTTAATATTTATTAAATCATGTAGATTAATTAATCAGTACATTTTTCAGCAAGTAAGTAATGCCTATAATTCATAAGCTCTTGGACTGTTTTGATTTCAAGAAAAAAACTTATCTCCTTAACTATTGTAACAAAATAGAGGACTTGTACACTTACCTGCTTCCAAGTTTTTGTTGAGTTTGCTTTACGAGCAGCGTCAACTGCTCCTTGAAATTCGTTAAGCCGAACAAGCGTGACCGATAACTTTGCAAAATTTGATATATTGTTGTACAGAATTTTTGCTGCTTCATACATACCACTTTCAAAACATCGATCACCGATTGGCTGAATTTGGGCATGATTAGGTCCAGAAATAAATTCTTCCAAGTCAGCCAGACGACTTGTTTTCGCATAAGCATAAACAAGCTCTGTTTCGATGTATGATTCTCTTGATTTCTTCCGTGCCATTTGTAAATATCGCACCAGGTCTTCCCAGCTGTCTAAATGATGAAATACAATAAGAATTGATAATAAGAATCTACTTGCTACCTAAAGCTCCAACGAAAATTTGACATAGTTTCAAGGTTTTGGAATAACGATGGCGTCAATACTAACCAGTCTCAGAGCATTTGCTGACAACCTCCATATATGCAGTAGGATCATCTGCCTTTATAAATGAATCTACAGCTTCCTTCACCAAACCTTCTTTCAACTGTGCTTTTGCTAAAGATGCCCAAACACCAGCCTCATTGCATCGTTCCGCAAATTCATATGCGCGATCCAAATTTGACACATTATCAATTAGAACCTGCAATTAAATGTGATCGAAATCATACCATTACATACATATCTTATATTTATAAATCAGCGGAGTGATTTTGACACCTATTACTTTAAGAAATATAAAATTAACAAGAAACTGATATAGCCTACTAAATCTTTTTTAAAATCAAAACTTGTTGCAAACATAACTTCACATCACTGGACAACTTTGGCTCGTTTTCTCAAAAAAAAAGTGAACTTACTACACATTTCAATCAATAGTATTTTTATAGAATACTACACATTTTTCCATGAAATAAAAGTGCAATGTATGAAGAAAACTGACATTAACAGCAGCAGTATTGACATCAAACTTTTTGAAAATAGCAAATGCTTCTTCATATAACTTATTAGATATAGCAATATTTGCTATATCCGGTGCATCATAGTTGTCCAACTTTTGTATGTACTCCATAACCCGTGTACGATCTGCTTTAATAGCAGTAAGAATAAGCAAATTCTGAAGATTCCTGTAGAACAATTTTTCTATTACTTCACGAAATGAACGTTACACTAAATTCAGAAAAATGTGACGGAATCATGTTCAATTCATCTTACACTACTTTAAAATTTACCTGTGTTCTGAAAAAACGGAATTATCGAGAACTATTTTCTCCAATAGCTCAATCAACTCGTTAGGCAAGTCAGCAGCCATGAAGGCCTTTACAGTTGCTGAAATATCTTCGGGATCTTGAGTTTCCGACAAAGCTGTCTGAACAACCTGAAATCAAAAAAAATGTGAGATCGAAAAAATTAAAATTGACAGGACTCAATCCACACAATATATATCAATTCGTACACTAATTCCATTTCTGCTTTTTACATTTCTTTATGTTTGATCTTTTTTTGATACCTACTTACGCTAGAAAAGTAATCAACTAACAATTATGTATACATTTAATAAGAAAAAAAAATTAAAGATAAGTGATTTAGGCTTAATGAACTAGCAAACCTGGTCGATAAGCTGTCTTCTGTGCTGATTGTCTTCAGCTAAAACCTGACTCCAAAGAGGAAAATCACGTCGCTTCACCAAATAACGCGCCAGATTTTTAAAAAGTGAGTTTTCATTGCATACCTATGAATATATATTCCAATCAGGTCTCAGCTTATGCATTTCGATAAAGTCTGTGAGAGAAAAGCTACAACATGATAAAGAAATATATCATATATTGCTAGAATAATTTCTGTAAAAAAACTCATTTAGAAAATTCAAAAATGAACAGTAAAAAAGTGGCCCAGTAAAAAACTAAATCAGAAATGTCAATATTCAGACAAATTTCATCTTACATTTACGAGTTCAGCGTCACACTGACCCCGTTCATATGCAAGACAAGCAAAATGTGGATCTCGTTTTTCACAATATTTTCCAACTACTCGTGAATCATAATATGGATTTTCACGAAGAAATCTTTCGGGGTTATTATTTGCGTCTATATAAATTTTTGCTAGTGCATTATGAGTAGCTGCATCTGTAGCACCTTCCTGAACACGCATCTCTAACCATGGTGCTAATAGCTTCAGTCTATAAAATACAGTTTATTTTTATATGAGCAAGGCAATTTCATGTTTGGCAAATTAAGTTTTCCAAGTAATCACAAAACTTCGTTAAAGATTTGATCATATTTTAACCTGTTTCTTTTTTCAACTTCATCAACTAGTTCATCAATATCGAATTTCCCTCTGGTATTAATAATAAGCTGTTTGATAGCATCCTCAGAGCAATCGACATCCAATAATCCACCAACAACAATAGGAAGTCGAGCTGGATTTACCTAAAAACAAGTGCAGAGCTAGAAAATAAAAATTACGGAATAATAAATGACTAAGAATTTAATATGTTCGATAAAAGTTCCAAAAAATTCTAAAATCAAAATATCCTATTTTCGTTGAACACTTATTTTTGTGTCGAAAAATTATCTTCAAAAAGCCTCTAAAACTTGAGCTCGTTTTAAATAAAGAAATACTAACCTTCTGTACAAAAACTTCGATATATTTCTGTAGATTATTTCGATACAGATAAAGAACAAGGTCGTGGACCATATCGTGTCGATCACAAACAATAATTAAAGGCAACTGGTCTGCTAATTTGGCTTCTTTCAAATAGTTTTTGACTCTCTCTGCTTCGTAACAGTTGGATTCTCGGCAGATTCTTTCCACTTCTTTAATTTGTCCTGTTCTAGTGGCAGCCTACAACAATGATGTTTTTAATATTTCTAAAACCTATGCATATGTGGAATTTAACTGTTACTGTAGTAATTTAAGTAAACAATGTTCTTCCTTAATGTATTTATAGCCATCTCAAATTAAGCATAGAAAGCACTTCAAAGAGTAAGAATGCACAATGTGGATAGATTTCATCGTTCCACGACAACGAAAGTATTTTATTACGAGAAAAAGCTAAAGCTTGCTCAATTATGGACAAGTGCAAGCATGAACTAAAAACGAATTATAGAGTGAAATATTGTTTTGAAAAAAGAAAAAACTATAAAACAGTGATGTTTAAAACACACCTGTATGTATTTAAAGTGAACTTCAAGGTCTTGCGAAAAATTGACAATTGAGCCTAGGAAATAAAACAGTCCTTCGTAACTCTTAAATGATTCGAACAAGTCGATAAGAGCATGAGTTGTGAGTTGTTCATGATATTTAGTAGCTATTTGAACAACTATTTGCAAGTTCTGCCGCATATTGGTTTGGAGCATCGCTTTCAAGCATTCCAAAGAATCTTCCACCGACAACTGTCCAAAGTAGTTGACTAGCCACTGCAAATTAATTTAATTTTGCAAAAATCTGATTCAAAGCCAAGTTTATTGGACTGCTTCTTACATTGAAAAAATTAGTGTGAATTACATAGAATAATAAAACAAACATCCGGTTTAAGATGCTGTGTGTGAACAACTGTTCTTTTGATATCGTAGAGATCAACGAAATGTTCTAAAGCTCGTTGTAATAAACCAGCCTTCTCACAAAGCTGTCCAACTGTTGCACGATCATAGTGATGAAACATCTGATTCCCTAATATTGCATCAGCCACCTGAAAAGAATAACGAAAAAGAAATATAAGGTTTAATTTCCTTTCATTAGAACTGAGTTTGTGCATCATACTATCAGTAAACCAACTTGTGGAGCAAAAAGAAGATTCATTTCGAGCAACTTTGTCTGAAGATGTCCTTCTGACTCTTTATCTCCTTTTAGAACTTCAAGCAAGAATGATGTACAAGGTTGTATTGCTTGCACTTCTTCGAAACAAGCAACTATCTGAAGCCCAAACTTCCCATAACTCGTTTAGTAAAAGTTTTCAATATTTTCTGTATATCACCATTAAAAACAGTCATACAAAGTTTTTCTTCTAAAAGAATCATGCATTTTAAAATTTATTTCATTTGTAATCAAAAGCTTCATAAAGAACACCTAAAAAACAATACTACACATATTAAACTTTATGCTTCCTCTAAACATGCTAAATGTAATAGCTGCCTTTAATTTTTCTACAATTAACCTGGTTTATATCTGCTAATGGTTCATTTTCTCCCTCTGATACTAGCATCTGCGCAAATTTGGCACCCATTTCTGGATTGGAGCGTAACACTTGCCGTAATTGGAACAAATAATCAGGCTCGAAATTGACTTTTTTTGCATACAGAATAATTTTATCAAACTGCCCAGTTTCCGCAAAGCATTGAACAACCTGTTGAAAAAGTTTTCAGTAGTTAAACATCAATTTCTAGTACACAGAAAAACACTTGTTCAAATTTATTCTCACGAAACCAAGTTACTTATTTTCAAAAACTTTATAGTTAGGAAAAAAAATTTATGCTGTTGCATATGATATAACAAGAATACACAAATGATACGTTTATACCTTGTGAGGAACATTACCACGAAGGTAAACAGAGAGTGCAACATTAATATCGTGCGGCCTGACTAAATCTCCAAGCTCTTCACTGCATTCAAGTTTCCCTTCAGTAAGCCACTTTTCCAATAACTGCTTCTTTCCCTGACAAATCAATTGTTTTATGCTTCCGAAAACATATAAAGAGCATATTTATTAACATGAAAATTTTAGAAGAAATGTTACCTGTGCTAGCACTGGCCGGCAAAGCTCTAAAGTTTCATATTTATTCATTTGACCTTGGTCAAGGAGAATACCGAAATACTGAAGCAAAGGACTTGGTCCACCACCAGTATGCGGACATTGTTGAAACTTTTGAATAGTTTGAGGCGTTCTTAAAATTCCCTGAAAATAAAAAAAAGTACAAGCCTTATCACCTTTAATCTCATTATTTTTGTTAGAAAAATTTTTTTACTAGGAGTACAATAAATACCAACCAAATGTAGAACAGATGAATTTCAAAATTTAAATATGATTTACGTCTGATATTCTTATACCACAAGTAAAAAAGATCAGAAAAACTAATAAATTCACGGTAAATGTGAAAACGTTAATCCCTTAACCTGTGGAGCAGTAGCAGCCACTTTTGCAGCTTCGGCATAGTTTCCATTTCCAAAAAGCAAATTGAATTTACGAACAAATAATTCTTCAGCTCCTGGAAGATCACATCGAACCGCTAGTTTCAACGCAAGATCCGGATTTTGCAACGTCTGTGTCACATAGGGGATCATATTTTGTTCATCAATGCTTACTGAGAGGACCTACGAATTTATGAATAAAAGATTCCATATTCCACGTTACTGCATCAGCCAAATAGATTAATCATGTATAAACTAAAATAATAACCTATGTAATTTCTGAGATCTCACTGAAGCTCTGCGAAACAAAAATGAATCAATCTTTAGAAATAATTCCCATGTTTTCTTAGTTCATATTGTTTTAAAGTCACTAAACAGTTCCAAATTTATCAAGAAATACCTGTCCTTTTCGGTTCACTCCAAGAATTCCTTCAGTAGCAGTGTATTCTGCGGTAACAAAAATGGTTTCAGATGAAATTCGATTCATATATATGCATACCGCAGTTTCAATATCATACAAATGAACATAACCATATTTTGTTACCAAATATATGATACCATGCTTGGAAGAAGCCTGCATTTCAACTTTGTTACTAACATTTTTGAAACGTTTTGACAACCTTTTCAGTCAAATGCCGACAATATAAATGCGGTCAAATTAGCCAAAACTGTAATTAATTCCGAGGACATGGATTATTTTTCACATATATCATGCGCAAATTTTAACTTTTTTCGGTAGCAAGCATAAGAGAAAGTTGTACAGCTTCGAAAAGAGAAGGTGACAATCTCATCAGACACATTACGAAAGTTTCGAAAAATGTATCATTTACTTTTATCGCAATTCCCTCGAAATTAAAAAAATTAGAAAAAACATAATTTTTTCGGATGTAGTATGCAACAAGAAAATTTTCTTAATGCTTAGAGCAAAGATTACAATTAATTACTGATACGACTAACCTGCATCGCAACTGGAAAATCAGAAGCTGCTTCAGTTGGATAATAGACTTCCACCTGTTTCTTCTGAAAAGGCTGATTCCCAGCAGGTGGCGCGCCTATTTCGATGATATGAAGCTGAAGTACACAACTGAATGTTTCCGAACATCATTCGAAATACAAAAAACCACTTGTATCACATAATTATATGTACGAACCAGACAACAATCAAAATCATAGTAGGAATCCAAATAATGCATTTATGACTCTTCAAATGCATATTCTTATTAAATAGGTTTGAAGTATTTTTTTAAGAAATATGTATCATTTGGCGGAAGACACAACATCTGTGAAATCGATGATATGAACTATGTAAATGAACATATAATTTACCTTCTTTCGACTGAACAACTTATCCATTTGAGGAAAGTTGTGCCTACAGAAGGACGCTTTTGAAATTTACAACTAATTCAAAAAAAACGAAAACAAACTAATCCTAATTTGTCAACATGATGTTATTAGATTAATAATAGTCACAAAAACCTTTCCGCTTTGAGGACTTCGAACAGAAAAACAGAATAAATTGCTAGGATGCGGATTTCCCTCAAGTTTGTAACTAACAAAGCATGCTGCATGTCCTTCGATTGGTTGTGATACTTTCCGCTCTGTGCTATATAACTGCATAGCACCAAAGGCACGATTATCCTGCAAAAGTTACTAGACCATCCACTGCTGAATTCAGCACTTTAATATCTAAAATTCCAAAAACTTGCAAGCTCTATAAAATGATTTCTTTTCAGCATATAACTGAATTGTCTGATAATTTTTTCTCGACACAAAAGAAAAATATTTTTGCATGTGACAAGAACAATAATTATGAAATTTTAAGAATATCAACAAAACAGTGTGTGAAACAATAATAAATGAATTGAAAACAACAACTGTAAAATATACTTTGGCCGCGATTCCAATAAGTAATAACCATTTACAATCTGCATCAGCTCGATAATTAATAATTTGAAATCCGCTTAAAGTTGAATGTCTTTCAAACATTTTCACTGGCGCTGAATCACCTGAATATTAATTATAAGCAACAGACTGATATAAACAATGAATATTTCGTTCCTGAAGTTCTTCCAAAAATGTTCCAATACTTGAGAACAAACAATCATCAGAGCAAGACAATAAATAGAAGATGAAGTTAAAATAGTTAGGAAAACCTTGTAATGACCAATGGTATGCAGCAGTTTCTGAAACCAGTGCGATTGTATTAACATTGACCCACTTCCAAAAAATCACATCTTCTGGCATGTTGTATGCTTTCATTTTTGTTTTCAGCTCAATGTTAAATATTTGAAGAGTACGAACAGCTACAACGGTCAATCCGTTATTTTTTTTCAGACACTATTGATTAGTTACCACAATTATTAGCTGAGAGTTATCAATATCAAACTAGTTCAAGCAAAAACAAAATGCTGGAGTCAATAAAAACAAACATTTTAGTGCTAAGACTTTTGTTGCTGGATTCATTATTACTGAATCTGCAGTGATTGGACGACGAAGTGGATTATTCACATCGTTCATATCAACGATGACAACTTGCGCATTTTCTCCAACTTTTTCTCTTACAACGATGAATTTGTCTGATTCCATTGTTAGCGTTGCAAATCCAATATTTGCTGCATTTATACCCAGGCTTTGCAGCTTTAAAAAAATCTGCTTTAGTTTACACAATTACAATTCGTCACAAAAGACCAGATGTAGGTTTTAACAATATTTTTAATACAGATCTATATCAATTTCAATTTTTAGAAATCAATGCATGCTACATGACTTTTCATTTGAAGGTCTTGAAACTTTTAAGAATAAAATTTCTAAATAATTAGTCACATCTGAAAATCAGTAACAGCAATAAGAATAACGTTGTTGATTCTTTATGAATAGAGAATAGAGTTGTTGATTTCAGGAACTTTCTTTCTATAAATCTTATATTGAACTAAAAATTTCTGTACTGTTTTGAGTATAACTGCATTAGATTGTAAAAGTAAGACTGTAAAATATGCTGTCCTTTACAAAGACTGCATTATTCAATGCAAAACCAAGAAAAAAATATACCAGAATATGTTCCTGAAATTTAATCGGTAGAAGTGAAGACATTCTTGAATAGAAAGTGATGATGCCAGTGATCTGAGGTATGTACAAATGTACACTAATAAAACTGAAATGTAAAAAATTTTGGTAGTGTAATTACTAAAAATGAGTAACTGATCGCGAAACCACGGTGATGCAACAGCAAAAATGAAGTAATTATCAAAAAATCGTCAGTCTGATAGAAATGAACACTTTAATATTCATTAATTAGTGTGCAATTAGTCAAATGAGCATTAAAATTTAAGATTCAGTCTATATAAGACATATTATGATGAAACTCCTACTACGGAAAGCGCTAACCAATGTAAGGATGTACTAAATTTAATCAATAGAAATAAGCGATGTATTATGATCACTTATGTATCTGTAATAGACACATCCATTTCATTTCTAGCATGATAATTATATACTTTTCTTATTTCAGTAATTCATTTCTTGACCAGCAAAACAGATTCCACTCGGATTAACAAATAACAGAGGTAAATAATAAATGGTGATAAGCCACACAAAAGCAAAAGAAAATTAACAAAGTGACAATCGCGAAAACTTTGGAAAAAAACACACATCAGTAGTTAGGTGTGAGATGATTCATTTTACTCATAGCATTATTTCCCAGAAATCAACTCTGATTTTCCTATATTTGAGTTTATAACGTAAAAATGCATTACCAACTCTTCCCTTTATCGAGTAATTACTTCTCAAAGACGTTCCACTTTGAGAGAAAAGATGGCACTAATCATCTGAAAACGCAATAATATACAGACTAACTACAGCACAGCAAATGAAATATTTGAATATGCAAAGTGACGTATAAAGCGTCATTATTAGCAAGGTTTTTGCATAATTTTCAGTAAATTGTAGTGAGTAAAAGGATGCAGAGAAAGGCAGAACGGAAGAAAATGTAAACAATGCTGCATAATAATTCAAAATGCAATAACTAAACGATATAAATAAATGCAGCACTATTTTGTGCCCACTAAACTACGATTTTATCAAACAACCCTTCACTGTTACATCTATAAAATAATATACTATCCACAAGTGTGCAGTAAAGTATGAAAGAATAAACACAAATCCATCCATATATAATGAAACAACGAATAAATTTCAACGAATAGATAACTAGTAAGGAAATAGTAAAATTAAGGTAGTGCAAAGTGAAGTAAGTGGATTTATTAGAATGCCTGCTAATCTGGTTACCGTTAACAACGCAGTAAAAAGTGAGTTGGCGCAGGTATGAAACGCTTATAACAAATAACGGTGAAGTGCGTAAAACAATTCCAGCAATATTCATTCGTTCTTCTTTACCTTACTTCGGACTTTAAACGTATGATGAAATACACTCACCATATGCAGTCTACTTTTACGTATGTAACTTAGCAACCACGACAATAGCACTAAGCATTTGTTCTTTTACTGTACTAATTGCTTACTTTACAGTTATAGCATAGCTTAACTCTTTATCCCCACCAAATATTACTTGGAATCACGCATGAAATTTATGCGAAACAAATACTACTGAACAACCCATCAGTTTTCATTTTACAAACTGCACAATGCTATAATTCCAATGAAGTCAATCCTTTTTTCCCACCATATATCTATCCCTACAACTTATTCTCCTCTACAATAATGTATGCCATTGCATTAACTACATTCTGCTTTATTTAGAATTCAGTCATAAAAAATATACATTGCTAGGTGACACAACACAAATGTCTACCAGCCATTCGTTTATTTACCCTCTCTTCGGTTGCGAAACTAAAGTTAGTATGTGTCTAACCAAACATCCATCATCTATTCAGCATCAAATTAATAATTTTCTGCTGCCAATCAATTGAAAGTTTTTTCTACTAAACTACCATAACAGATCATTGTAACAGAATCTCATTGCAAGTACTAATTCTTACGATTTCTCTGTATTCACAATCAAATAGATATTTTTCTCCAATAAGAATTTAAACACTAAAAATGTTACATGTTTCTGAGAAGAGAGCATCTTGTGCAACGTTTATGCTACAAAGTTTACATTTCATATAAATTAGAACTGCCGTATTCACTGACCTTTCGAATAAACTAACAACGTAATACACGTAATGACTAATACGATAATTTTTGATACACAATAAACATAAACTTGAATGACGAAGCAGACAAACGCATCCAAAATGGCTAGAATGACGCAGAGAAAAGACTGCAATGCGTTGGATGAATAAAATGTTTGTTGTACACTGCAGACAATCCATGACGTCCTTCAAACTTCGACCATTTCTCTGCAATCCCATTTCAGCTGTTTCTCTTCTCTCTTTCTCCATCATCTCGTTCTATTTCGCTGTCTTAATCATTTTACGAAGAAAATAACGTGTGCGTGGTGTATACATCCAGGTTTCACGCTGCTATTCACTGTAGAATGAGTGACATGTTTCTCAAGGTCGTATGTAAACAATTAAGCAATTAAAATAATGATGCAGCGTGAAATCTGGTAATGGAGTGAAGCAAATGAAAATTGTCAGTAAAGACTGGATGTGTAAATAAAAATTAGATTCCAAGACCAAGATTAAAAGTTATGATTTTGCGCCTTACGAGTTTTCACCATCTTTTGTAAAAAAGCAAACTGAAAACATATCCAAGCTGTCATTTAAAGACAAATCTTGCTTTGATTAAGTTTAGTTCCATTTGTAAAAAGTGAGTCAAGCTACTGTTCGAAACTACACCAATAAATTTAGACAGCTACTATATTTAAGCATTTGTTAATGACACATCTGCAAGGCATATGCACTGTCATAGAATGAATTGATGGAAAGTGTAAACAGTACATTAACAAGGTTTCACGCCAATCTAACAAACTAACGATGAATTCTTGTTGAGGATGAGAAATAACTGGGAAGAAGTATAAAGGAATGGTATTACAAAATGTTTGATTTTTACGTATAATTTCGAGACTAATAAACATTTTTATATTTCTGACTAAAACGAAATCGAAGAGAACTTTTATAAATCAAGAAATGTCAAGGAATCCTACAGTTATCTCACACTTCAAGTTCCTCCTGTCTTTCAGTATGTCATTTTAACAACTTCAAGGAGTCTTCAGAACAGGAAAAATTAAGATTGACGAAGTTCAATAGAAGCAATAGAGTAAAGTGAATGAGACCATCAAATTGATGAAATTCAACAAGAGATTAAAAACGAGACGGAGAAGTTTCTCCGAAATTTTCAAAATAAAATGAATAAGATGCATATGCAGTTCAGAATTATCTACACAAGAAATACATTTCAATGGTGATTATGTCTTTAAACGAATTTCAAAATCATCATCAAACTTTGTTCGGAAATGTGTAACAAATTTTTCAGTCATTTCTAGTATCATCAGCACCATCATCGGTTTCATTTTCATCAGTATTTCCAACATCAAAATCACTAGTATAGTCTTCTGATTCAGAAATGCATTCCCTGAATCGAAAAAATCCTGATATACTGGTTAAAAACAAAAAAAATCATTAAGTATGACTATCGCGCATTGTGTTGACTAAATATACCACTCAAGTTTAAAACTACACGCGTACCAAAAAATATGCATTTACTTTAACTTTTTAACGATCTTTTCGAAAATACTGTGTTAGAGTCGTATTGTGTAAATGGCACAACAATAAAAGAATTAAGTTTTTCTGATGACAACATTTGGAAAACTTCACATCATTTGCTGAACTACGACAATATTCATATAAATGGAAGATAATTCATGAAAAACACTTACATTTCACTGAATAAAGTTTTTTGCTCATCATAATCTTCATCACTTTCAGTATCGCTCTCATCTTTATAATACCAAAAACTTCGTGGACATCTTTTGATGCTTATTGTACGCCTAACTAACGTCTTTGCAATATAAGATGCCCAAACGTAAATCTTCTTTTCCAGTCCTATTTCAATAAATTATTGTTATATGTAAATGAGAATGAAAAAAGAATAACGAAGCTAGTTAAAAATCAGTCCTATGCTGAAATTTATAACATGGAAAGTAAATGCACGAATCTTAAGCGTTTTTCTCCAATAACAATATTATACTTATTTGAACATGTGTAAACTATTCTATTCGCTGAAAGTTCTGCAACTGTTTTGTAAAATATAGCATATTTCTTCAACAGTTAACAATGTAAAAATGAAAAATCTATGCAGAAATAAGAGCCAGGCAATAAAACATACTTCACTCATTGCATACAGTTTGTCAATAAAGCATAATGAGCAAAAATCTACTGCAATAACAATGCTGCAATCCAAAACGTACGAGAAAATTAGCAAATAAAAAGACATGTAAATTTTTATCCTCTCTATGATAAAAAAA